GGGGGCCAGGGGGTGGCGAGGGGGAGGGGACGGAAACGGGGCAGGCGGAGGGGAAGTTCCCGACAGGAAGACGAAGAAGCGACCTGGAAGGCATCGTGGAGGAGGACGAGGAGGCAGACGGGAAGACGTGGGTAGGCGGGGAGGAGTCGCTGGCCGAATGGGTCGGAGCAGGAGACGAGGTGCTCTGGCGGGTGGGGGTGGAGCAGTTCCATCGAGACCTCCGGCACGTCACGTGCCTGCGCTTTGTCCGTCAGAAGGTGAACACCACGGCCGAGTCCTTGGTGCGCGCCATCCTCCAGCACAGCCTCCCCCTGGAACGGGACGGCACGGTCGCGCCCCCCCGCTCGCATCCTTTGAGCCTAGGGGAGCTGAGTTCCAGAGTCCAGCTGCCTCCCAACGTGACGGTGAAGATGTATCTCGAGGTGTTGCAAAACGACCCTGTGCAGATTGTGGACCGGGAGGGGACGGCCACGGATGTGTACTGTGTCTGCCTGGGGCGCATCATAGAGAGCCTGCGGCAACGGACGCTGCATAGTATCATCCGCGAGCGCTACACCACGGACTCGAAAGCCTGTGACGGAGACCGCAATGCGCGCATCTGCCGGGTGCTCCTCGACAAGAAGTACCTGGACCCGCAGCAAGTGAGCGAGCTGGCGATGATGTCCCTGAGGGAGACGCGGGAGAGGCTCTACCGGATGTACGCCGACTTGCTGCTGACCGTGCAGGAGATTCCCCGACGGGCCGACCACCACCCGAACCAGACCTTCTACTTGTGGACCTTCAACATGCAGCAGGTGGTGGAGGAGCTGACCCAGCGCATGTACAAAGGCGCGTTGAACTTGCGCTTGCGTCGGCAGAAAGAAACACAGGAGAAGCGAGACCTGCTGGCGAACAAGGAGAACATCCGGGATGACGTGGAAGCGGCCCACTTTGATCAGCTGACCACGACCTTGGACCGCCTCGACCAAGCCCTGGAGAACCTGGACGCGACCCTCATGCTCTTCACTGTCTTCTGACGCGACGGGGCGTGGGGATCGGACAACATGGAGGGGTGGAGAGAGACATGCAGGAGGAATGGACATAGGCAACAATTAAGAATAGAGAAAATCGAGTGAACATAGTCATGCAGCGCGAAGGCAACGTGCGAGGACAAGAGACTCGGGATCCAGGGCCCGAGTTCGTCACGCGTGTATCCAGAGACGCTTCGAAAATGTGTGCTATGGATTGTGGACATGCTATTTGTCGCTGTTCTTAGTTTTTTCTTTAGAACCCCAGTCCTGCCAACCACTGCCGCAACTGCGCGGTGTAGCGCCCCTTTACTTCCAGACGGGGGCCCGTGCATATTCTCACTTCTTGATTTGCACAAACTTTGGACATCTCCCCTCGCATCTCCTCCAAATCTCCTGACACCTTCCGCACCAGCGTGATCAATTGCGTGCGACCTTTGCGTACGTCCGTGTACACTGGCAGCCACCGCCCTTTGTCGGTCCGCTCAACTTGGAAGGGAAGTGACGTTTTTGGCAAGCCAACGGTGGCAGGATCGGGTGGAGCGGACCATCCGTTGGGGAGAACACGTGAGGGCTGATATGTTGGTGGGTATTTCAAGGGCGCAGGCGGTTCAGCCGCAGCCTGCTCCCTGGCAGGTCTTATCACATCCTCATATCGTGTGCGACTGCCGAAGATGCGTTTCTTGGCCCTGTTAGAGTGCTTGCGAAGATGCCCACCAAAACGTGCGAGGAGAGGAGAGGCTCGCTCCATGACTTGTAACCCCACTTGTGTTGAGGATGACAGTGATGAGGAAATGGACAGGATGTGTATGAAAGGGTGTCAATGAAGGGCTCCGAATTTATTCGAAACAATTCGTCATTTCATGCGGCTTGAAACAACTTTCGACATGCCAACGCACATAGACGCCAGCCTAATTTTCATGGCGACTGTCACGTGCGAGCGTGTACCCCAATCAAAAAGCAATGCGAGGATCTTAGTCGTACGGTCCAGGGCGTCTCGGATGTAGCACTCGACGGTATGTAAAGCATCATACGGACCCACCCGAGATGACGGTGCCGGCGGCTGGCGGAGGTATGTAAAACATCATATGCCCTTCCCCCCTGATGACGATGACGGCGACAGAGGGAAGGAATAGGAAGAATACAGGCCTATGCGCGAGGCAGAACGGCCATATATTTCTTCCCCTCTCACCAAAGCGTGACTAAAACCCTTCTAATTGCGTCTTGTGACCTTTGGTGACGTTTCCGCACAGGTTGCCTTCGTCTTTTGTGACGCAGCTCGAAGGAAGTTGTAAAATTCCTCTCCTGTCTTCATCGTCCATCGCCTTTGCTCCCCATCATTGCCGGCCCTTTTCCATTCGACCTCGACGTGTGCAAGAGCGAAGCGGCTAACGACAAGGCTGACTGGGTATAAAAATCTAGTGTTTGAACATGTCGTCCATGTCACTGGCGCAAGATCAGCGGAATGAGCTCCTCTTTGTAGGGTTCAACCAAGATTACGGCTGCTTCGCATGCGGCACGGACAATGGATTCAGGTATGTATGTATGGATGTCAGGGCATCAAAAAATCGGTGAAATTGATTTGTTTAACATTCGTGAGATGTCAACAATATGCCCTTTTTGAGGTGATGTTCCCAGTGGAAGCGGCATTGAATCGAAGAAAAGAAGGGAATCCCGAAGCGTTCATATGCCTATGGGCCGCGCATCCTCCTTTTTTTGCTACATGTCTTGATCTGAAACAAACTTTACTTGTCTACACTTGGAGGAAACGTGTGAGAGAATCTTGGTCGGTCGCATGCGAGAACTCACTCGCTATCCTTCCTACTCCGCTGTCTGGTAGGATCTACAATGTGGACCCCTTCAGGGAGACTTTCCGACGCATTTTTCCCAACGGTGGAATTGGAATCGTAGAGATGCTCTTCAGAACCAATTTGGTGGCGCTAGTGGGCGGCGGACGCAACCCTCGTTTTCCCCCGAACAAGGTGATGATATGGGACGACCATCAGAACCGGTGCGTGGGCGAGCTGAGTTTCCGGAGCGAGGTCAAGGCCGTGAAGCTCCGAAGGGACAGGGTCGTGGTCGTGCTGACCACGAAAATTTACGTCTATCGATTCGTGGATCTGCACCTGCAAGACCAGATGAGCACGCTCCCAAACCCGCGGGGTCTCGTCGCCCTGTGCCCCGATAACAACAACACGGTGTTGGCCTGCCCCGGCATCAACAAAGGCTCTGTCCGCGTCGAGCTGTACGACAGCAGGAAGTCCACGCTCATCCCAGCGCACGAATCGGAGCTGGCGCAGATGGCCCTGAACCTGGACGGGACGCGCCTCGCCACCGCCTCGGACAAGGGGACTTTGGTCCGAGTCTTCGACACCTACTCAGGTGAGCTCCTCCAGGAGTTGCGGCGAGGAATGGACAGGGCAGAGATTTACTCGTTGGCCTTCAATGCGTCCTCCACATTCGTGGCTTGCTCTTCCTGCAAGGGCACCGTGCATATTTTTAGATCGGAAGAGCGTCGTGTAGGGAAAGAGTGTAGATCTCGGTGGTCG